TCTGCCAGCGCTTCCTCTTTCTCCTACGACACCCGCCCCGCCCCGCCCCGCCGGCTTTCGCTTTCCGAGAAGCGCCGCCCTGCCCTACAATCCGGAGCCCCACGCAAAAGTGCGGAGGCGGGGGCTCCCACCTCTACCCTTGAGGTCTGGAGGCGGGGGATGTGGGAGCGTGAGAAGTAGGAATATGCCTTTTGAGATCTGGAGAGGTCCACAGCACTGCCCTCGAGGGTCTGATGATGGTAGTAGTAGGTAGGCGGCGGAGTGAGAACGACCCTCCTTCAGAGGTTGTAGGAAACGGGCCTTGCTTTTTGGGATCTGGTGGAGCCACAGTTCTTCTACTGGGGAATCTGAGGGGTTCATACGGTCCTGCCCTAGAGGATGGCGAGGAGGGGACAAGTGGGAAGGCACCACCTCTGCCCTCCACTGTCTCTGGGGAACACGCAATCCTGCCAGTAGGGGTAAGGGAAGACCCCTGCCGTGCTCCCCAGGTGGGAGTGGGAAAGGGACAGCTGTCTTCTGGAGCCTGAGGCATGCCGTGACCCTGCCATCAAAATGGTTGGGGACGTCATGACACTAGGTTGGGGACCACAAGGCACCCTGTCCTTTGGTGTCTGTGGGAAGCCCAGCGCTACTCTCCAGGGTCTCAGGTAAAGACATGGCCCTGCTGTTGGGAGTCAAGGGGGCACGTGGCCTTGCTCTTTAGGTTTAGGGACACAGTCCTGACCTAGGGAGCCCTGGTTCATTCATTTACTCATTCAACAAGTACTTATTGATCATCTACTAAGTGTCAAGCCTGTCCAGGCTCTCTGCCTTGGTGGAGCCCCCAGCCTAGCACGGGAAATGGGCACTAATAAAATCATTCCAATTGGGTGTGAAACTGGTAAAAGTGTGAAACGTTCATTCTCCAGTTAGAGAGCTTGTCACACCCCGGCACCTCTGTAAAATCTGTTCTCCCGGCCAGTCCGGAAGCCCAAATTCCCTATCTTCTCGAAAGAATGGCAAAGCCCACCCACGTCGGAGTAGGACTCGGGCGTCTCGGAAGTATTTAGGTCCCCCAGCTCGGGTACTGGGACCGGAGGGATAGCAGAGCCAACTAGGAAGTGGGTAGAGGAATTAGAGCCCCGGTTTCCATCTCCATCTCGCAAGCGGAAAGCGGTCCTGGCGCTCCAGCCTTCCGTTTAGCTGCGGGCAGGAGACATGGGTTTGGGGGTCGGGTCTCGGATTTGGCTACAAAAGGTGGAAAGGCTTCCGCTCTGCATTTCTGGGCGGGGATTCGTAAAGATCCACCTTTTGGTTGGCTGC